ACTTGAATTTTGGCAAGTCAGTACATAAAACCTTTTATCCTTGTGGGAACAAGAGCAAATCACAAGCTGCCAAATAAGTTTTTTGAACATCTTTATTGGAGTATAATTGCTCTACAATGTTGTGTTAGGTGCTGCTGTACAACAAAGTGAATCAGCTATACATATACATATGTCCCCATATCTCCTCCCTCTTGAGCCTCCCTCCCACCCTCCCTATCCCACCCCTCTAGGTGGTCACAAAGCACCGAGCTGATCTCCCTGTGCTATGCGGCTGCTTCCCACTAGCTATGTATTTTACGTTTGGTAGTGTACATATGTCCATGCCACTCTCTCACTTCGTCCCAGCTTACCCTTCCCCCTGCCTGTGTCCTCAAGTCCATTCTCTACGCCTGTGTCTTTATTGCTGTCCTGCCCCTAGGTTCTTCAGAACCTTTTTTTTTTTTTAGATTCCATATATGTGTTAACGTATGGTATTTGTTTTTCTCTTTCTGACTTACTTCACTCCGTATGACAGACTCTAGGTCCATCCACCTCACTACAAATACCTCAATTTCGTTTCTTTTTATGGCTGAGTAATATTCCATTGTACATATGTGTCACGTCTTCTTTATCCATTCATCTGTCAATGGACACTTAGGTTGGTTCCATGTCCTGGCTACTGTAAATAGAGCTGCAATGAACATTGTGGTACATGATTCTTTTTGAATTATGGTTTTCTCAGGGTATATGCCCAGTAATGGGATTGCTGGATCATACGGTAATTCTGTTTAGTTTTAAAAGGAACCTCCATACTGTTCTCCATAGTGGCTGTATCAATTTACATTCCCACCAACAGTGCAAGAGGGTTCTCTTTTCTCCACACCCTCTCCAGAATTTATTGTTTGTAGATTTTTTGATGATGGCCATTCTGACCGGTGTGAGGTGATACCTCACTGTAGTCTTGATTTGCATTTCTCTAATGATTAGTGATGGTGAGTATCCTTTCATGTGTTTGTTGGCAATCTGTATATCTTCTTTGGAGAAATGTCTGTTTAGGTCTTCTGCCCATTTTTGGATTGGGTTGTTTGTTTTTTTGATACTGAGGTGCATGAGCTGCTTGTATATTTTGGAGATTAATCCTTTGTCAGTTGCTTCGTTTGCAAATATTTTCTCCCATTCTGAGAGTGGTCTTTTCATCTTGTTTATGGTTTCCTTTACTGTGCAAAAGTTTTAAGTTTCATTAGGTCCCATTTGTTTATTTTTGTTTTTATTTCCATTTCTCTAGGAGGTGGGTCAAAAAGGATCTTGCAGCCGAATAGCACAGGGAGATCAGCTCGGTGCTTTGTGATGACCTAGAGGGGTGAGATAGGGACGGTGGGAGGAAGTCGCAAGAGGGAAGAGATATGGGGATATATGTGTATGTATAGCTGATTCACTTTGTTATAAAGCAGAAACAAACACACCATAGTATAGCAATTATACTCCAATAAAGATGTTTAAAAAAAAAAAAGGATCTTGCTGTGATTTATGTCATAGAGTGTTCTCCTCTAAGAGTTTTATAGTGTCTGGCCTTACATTTAGGTCTTTAATCCATTTTAGTTTATTTTTGCGTAAGGTGTTAGGGAGTGTTCTAATTTCATACTTTTACATGTACCTGTCCAGTTTTCCCAGCACCACTTATTGAAGAGACTGTCTTTTCTCCACTGTATATTCTTGCCTCCTTTATCAAAGATAAGGTGACCATATGTGCGTGGGTGTATCTCTGGGCTTTCTATCGTGTTCCATTGATCTCTATTTCTGTTTTTGTGCCAGTACCATAATGTCTTGATTACTGTAGCTTTGTAGTATAGTCTGAAGTCAGGGAGCCTGATTCCTCCAGCTCCGTTTTTCTTTCTCAAGATTGCTTTGGCTATTTCGGGTCTTTTGTGTTTCCATACACATTGTGAAATTTTTTGTTCTAGTTCTGTGAAAAATGCCAGTGGTAGTTTGATAGGGATTGCATTGAATCTGTAGATTGCCTTGGGTAGTAGAGTCATTTTCACAATGTTGATTCTTCCAGTCCAAGAACATGACATATCTCTCCATCTGTTTGTATCATCTTTAATTTCTTTCATCGGTGTCTTACAGTTTTCTGCATACAGGCCTTTTGTCTCCCTAGGTAGGTTTATTCCTAGGTATTTTATTCTTTTTGTTGCAGTGGTAAATGGGAGTGTTTCCATAACTTCTCTTTCAGATTTTTCATCGTTAGTGTATAGGAATGCAAGGGATTTCTGTGCATTAATTTTGTATCCTGCTACTTTACCAAATTCATTGATTAGCTCTAGTAGTTTTCTGGTAGCATCTTTAGGATCCTCTCTGTATAGTATCATGTCATCTGCAAACAGTGACAGTTTTACTTCCTCTTTTATGATTTGGATTCCTTTTATTTCTTTTTCTTCTCTGATTGCTGTGGCTAAAACTTCCAAAACTATGTTGAGTAATAGCAGTGAGAGTGGGCAATCTCGTCTTGTTCCTGATCTTAGTGGAAATGCTTTCAGTTTTTCACCGTTGAGCACGATGTTGCCTGTGGGTTTGTCATATATGGCCTTTATTATGTTGAAGGAAGTTCCCTCTCTGCCTGCTTCCTGGAGGGTTTTTTATCATAAATGGGTGTTGAATTTTGTCAAAAGCTTTCTCTGCATCTATTGAGATGATCATATGGTTTTTCTCCTTCAATTTGTTAATATGGTTTATCACACTGATTGATTTTCATATATAGAAGAATACCTGCATTCCTGGGATAAACCCACTTGACCATGATATATGGTCCTTTTAATATGCTGTTGGATTCTGTTGGCTAGTATTTTGTTGAGGATCTTTGGATCTTTGTTCATCAGTGATATTGGCCTGTAGTTTTCCTTCTTTGTGACATCTCTGTCTGGTTTTGGTATCAGGGTGATGGTGGCCTCATAGAATGAGTTTGGGAGTGTTCCTCCCTCTGCTATATTTTGGAAGAGTTTGAGAAGGATAGGTGTTAGCTCTTCTCTAAATGTTTGATAGAATTCGCCTCTGAAGCCATCTGGTCCTGGGCTTTTGTTTGTTGGAAGATTTTAAATCACAGTTTCAATTTCGGTGCTTGTGAATGGTCTGCTTATATTTTCTATTTCTTCCTGGTTCAGTCTCGGAAGGTATGCTTTTCTAAGAATTTGTCCATTTCTTCCAGGTTGTCCATTTTATTGGCATACAGTTGCTTGTAGTAATCCCTCATAATCCTTTGTATTTCTGCAGTGCCAGTTGTCACTTCTCCTTTTTCATTTCTAATTCTATTGATTTGAGTCTTCTCCCTTTTTTTCTTGATGAGTCTGGCTAATGGTTTATCAATTTTGTTTATTTTCTCAAAGAACCAGCTTTTAGTTTTAATGATCTTTGTTATTGTTTCCTTCATTTCTTTTTCATTTATTTCTGACCTGATCTTTATGATTTCTTTCTTTCTTCTAACTTTGGGGTTTTTTTGTTCTTCTTTCTCTAATTGCTTTAGTTGTAAGGTTAGGTTGTTTATTTGAGATATTTCTTGTTTCTTGAGGTAGGATTATATTGCTGTAAAGTTCCCTCTTAGAACTGCTTTTGCTTCATCCCGTAGGTTTTGGGTCATTCTGTTTTCATTGTCACTTGTTTCTAGGTAATTTTTGATTTTCTCTTTGATTTCTTCAGTGATCTCTTGGTTATTTAGTAGTGTATTGTTTAGCCTCCATGTGTTTGTATTTTTTACAGATTTTTTCCTGTAATTGATATCCAATCTCATAGCATTGTGGTCAGAAAAGATACTTGATACAATTTCAATTTTCTTAAATTTACCAAGGCTTGATTTGTGACCCAAGATATGATGTATCCTGGAGAATGTTCCATGAGCACTTGAGAAGGAAGTGTATTCTGTTATTTTTGGATGGAATGTCCTATAAACATTAATTAAGTCCATCTTGTTTAATGTATCATTTAAAGCTTGTGTTTCCTTATCCAAGTAATATTTTTTAATAGATGAGCCTCAACTCTAAACATTCTAGTAGGATGCTGCAGAATTCTGTCTTTATTTATGCCATTTAAAATTTTTATCAACTACTTGAATGAAGATAAGAAGATTTCCTATGAAACCTACTGAGGGCACGGAGCCAAGAAAGACAGCTACTATGATTCATAAGAGAAAAAAAGACTTGACAGATTATAGCATCAAGCTGAATCATACAAGATGCTAAATATAACGTTATGTATTTTGGTTCAGATTTTCAACAGCACAGGCACAGAATTACCAAAACCTTACTAGACAGAAAGTATTTTATATGAATTTTATAGTAATTAAAAACACCATGTCATCTATATATATACATACAGACAGACACAATTATATATATATATATATATATATATATATATATATTTCTGCTGCCTAAAGAAGCTAGCGCAACAGAGCCTCATCTTTAGACCAAAACGTCTGGGTCAAGCAAAATTCCTCTTCAGGAATCTCAATCATCTCTGGAACACAACAACCACTTCTAATTAGGAGGCCTGCAGAACCAGATATCCAGGATGGTGAGAGGTCTAAAAATTCTGCCTAAATTATAGTGTTTGAGAGAGCTACACTTGTTTGCCCAGAGAAATGAAAACTTTGGTGGAGGGAGGGAGAGACTGAGAGTTAATCCTTGACTAGTAACTTTTCAAATCGTTGGAGAAGAGAAAGTTACTTCCGAAGATGACTTCATAAAAGATGCAGGTAGACCCATTTGGGGTCAAGTTTTGCAATGCCTGACAAGGGAATGGGCTGCCTAAGAGTGAGGAGCGCCCTGCCAATGGAATTATTCAAGTAGAGGACGGAGGAGCAGCCATCAATGGGGATGCTGTCGAATGCACTTCTGTACTTGGAGATCAGGATCCTTAAGGGAAAAGACCTCCAACACCCTTTCAATTCTACGGTCTTCATTAAAGCTGATGGTGAAGGGACCAGAGGGGCAGAAGACAGACATCTCAGATCACTGAATTGCACCACTGACCTTGACACAATCTCATACTGCATCAACTCGGCTGACGATCGCCTGAGAATAGCTTTGTCCTGCTAAATGCACACAGGTGTCCGAGTAGCTTCTGTGGCTCACGATGACTGGGCTGAGTGAGTGTCCTGCAGTTGACACCTTAATAGAAGGAGGCATATGGAAAATGAGGCAGAAATGAGCAAAAAAAAAGACAAAGAGCAGAAAAAACACTGAGCCTATGTGAGCTCTAAAGCAGGAAGCTGGGGGTGAAGACATACAATTCAGAATGGAGAGGGGTAATCACAATGCTGTGGGTTCTCAGTTTTTATTGTGGATCCTGGGAAAGAAACCACAGAGAAAATCTCAGGAGTGTTTTCCTCCTAAGCCAGCACAACCACTTCTTCACCACCAAAGGCTCCAATGTTCCCATAGTGGAGAACGGCACTGAAAAAAATATCTCTTCTTATTCAAAACCTCTCCCTGCCATCCATGTGTCCCTGCAAACACGTGGCCTTCAGTCCTCCTCTCCCTATTCCCCTGCACCTCACACCACATACAACAGCAACAACAGGCTGGGGATATAGGACCAAAAAAAAACAACAACCCTCAGACTGGAAAAAAAAAATCTTTACATAAAGAAGGAGAAAAACAGAATTCCTATCCCTGCATTATAAAAACTGAAAGGTAAGGGGAATTTTATAGACCCAGAACGTGATGAAACGAAGAGAAAGACATCAAGTCTACCCAAAAGGTGATAAAATATTTTATTTGTTTTTTGGTTGTGAAAAGAAAATAAACCATTGAAATGACTGTCCGAAGGGCTCCAGGATAAGGACACTGAATAGGGCTTGGCTATAAATGTTGGAGAGGGTAATCAAAGAGTTGGTTCTGTTTCCTCAGCATTGGTGTGGGCTGAGCCCTCCTACTTCAACACAGGAATCATGGGCAATGGTAAAAGCCAACCTGCCACGGGGCCTACATTAATGCCTTCCTTGCAGGCCCGTCCAAGAGTGCCAGAGTAGCTGCTCCCCTCCTGCACCCAGGTTTCTATCCAACGCTGACCCTACAGGGAATGCCATCAAACCACTGGGGCTTCAGGATCGCAATGTGTCTTATTTCCATGGTTACTAGTTCATATATACCTGCTTATAAAACAGGCATTTTTTTTTTCAGTCCTTATTTTTCTCACTCCTAGGAATTTAAGATGAAGAAGGCAAGGTTCCTGCCCCAAGCAGCTCAGTCTACAGTCTAAAGGGCCTTGGATTAATTCTGATGTTGTTTAGTGATATAGTTCAAGTTCCTGAAGACAGAGAAAGGTGACAGAATCGCTGTTGTAAAAGCAACTGCTGATTTTATTTAAACCCAGGAAGGATTAGTTAAGAATCTGTGAAAGAGGCAGGATTTTCAACTAACCCACAAACTTGCATCCAGCATTTGCCTTTTTCTTTTCTACGTGTCAAGCTCTCCCATGAACATGTGATACCTCAACTAAGTCTTAAAAGACAGCTCCCCCTCAAAACTAAGTTTCTCTAGGTCTGTGATGAACATAAAAATTAAGAACTTGGAAATAAACTGAACTTTGGAATGAACTGGAACTAAACACATGTGCCAATCAATATTGATCTCTACAATTACATGTAAATCCAAATTTGACCCGAGACAATTTACTCTCAGATTTGTCATCCAAATCACATACAACAGGGCCCAAGAATAGTACTGAGGACAGTGGCGTGACAAGGGACAGGTAGTAAAATGGAAACCAGCTTCCTTTCAGTGTACCTATATCTCTTAGCACCATCACAAGGACAAGGCCTTCAAGGGGCTTTACTAAGATCCCCACTGAACACTCAGTGGTCAACCTGCAGCACTTCTGAGAAGGTACAGGCTCGAGGTGCTCCCAAATCACCATTCATTTTCATAGCCGTATCTTTGCCCTTTAGGTCATCACCAGGCAGGCTGGAGGGTCTGGTTGCTCATACGATCATTCTACGCTGACCACAAAGATGGCCACTTAGACCATACCAGACAACACAATTCCTCAAATAGACACATAGTTAAAGACCTGAATCTATACAGTATCTTGCCAGAATGAGCCATGGCTCCGTGTCCAAGGCGTGTTTCTGTAATTCATATTACTAAACAGGTACCTTGGCCTTAGCGTCCACGGCCTGAAGATTCTTATTCGGTTGAAACCAACAGGAGCCAGCCGGGATGACTCAGGGGGAATGGTAATGATGGGATGAGTAATCTCTCTCTTGAAATCACCAGTTAGGATAAAAGCAGTTGTTGATTACCTGACGGGACAGGTTTCCCAGGCTGGCTGAGAACAGAACAAATAAATCAATGTCACTTTCCTCCCTAACATCTTAAAACTCTATGTTTAAAGCCTGTATTTCAGCTCACAATTCAAGGAAAGCTGTCCACAGAACTATCCATTAGGCCTCTGGTGAACACAGGGATGGAGGAGATAGGGGAGAAATGGCAGTAAGAACATTTGTAACCTCAGTGGAGAGAAATCCTATAGGAACGCTACCTGGCTCTCTGCTTGTGGTCACTGCCTTGGCTATTTTGGGAATCCTGTATATAAAACTAATCCAATGTCTTTTTTTGTTTGTTTGTTTGTTTGTTTGTTTTGCGGTACGTACGCGGGCCTCTCCCGTTGCGGAGCACAGTCTCCGGACGCGCAGGCCCTGAGGCCACGGCTCACAGGCCCAGCCGCTCCGCGGCATGTGGGATCTCCCCGGACCGGGGCACGAACCCGCGCCCCCTGCATCGGCAGGCGGACTCCCAACCACTGCGCCACCAGGGAAGCCCCCAATGTCTTATTCTAATAGGGTAAACACATGCGGACAAGTCAGGGCAAAAGCCTCTAACATGACAGTTCATTCTAAAGACTGGAAAACTGAAAACCTTTCCCTTTCAGAGTTATAACCAATCTCAGAAGAAAATCCATGAATGCATGAGGGATTCTCATTTCCTAATTAATCTCAATCTCCCCACTATTTTCCGTATTGCTTTACTCGAATTTACCCTTTTGGGGGAGATATGTTAAAATACGGTTTACTTGAAACTAGTAGACAAATAAGCACAGTATAGTGAATAAAGACAACAATACTGTATTATAATCATCAAACCTGAAAGAGACTAGATCTTAATTATTCCAACCACTAAAAAGGGTTGATAATTTTGTGACATGATAGAGGTGCTATAGCTACAATGGCAATCATGTTACAATATATAAATGTATCAAATCAGCATGTTGTACACCTTAAATTTACAGTTATATGTCAAATACATTTCAATTAAAATTCTGAAATATAGTTTAATTACAAATGAGGTGCTACTAAAAATATATAGAAAATAATTCAATAGATGGCCAAGTAACCACCTACATTACTGCCTCATATTAAAAGCCAAATAGGTTTACACCATATGTGATTTTGGCAACAATCTGATTGGATACATTGCTGAGGCTCCAAAGTAAACTTAAGCGAAAAGGCTTGACCACGTACTTGATCAAAGTATACCTGAAGTTTAGGTGCAAAAGAGAAGCTATGCCCCTGTGATCGGAGTGTGTGCTTCAGGTGACATCACTGTCCACACACATTTATTCAACACCCATCTGGCGGCACTACCCGGGGTGGTTAGCACAGATCTGCCATCCCAGAGTAACCAGCTTTGCCCTTTTTATCCTAGCACGGATCCACATTCAGCTAACGGGAGAAACACAGCTATTAAGTAGACAGGACTCAATGTTCCCGGGTTAAATATGGAAAGCGACTGTGGTGAGTACAGAATCGTGCACCGGTTTGTCACGTGCAGACCCAGAGGAAGTTTTCATCTCTATCATAGAAAGACTTCCTGCAGATGAAATTTCAAGAGCCACTTAAGGTTAAATTTGAAATGCTGCCCTTTGGTTGGATTACTGATAACCACCTTTCAAGAAAGAGCCACTGAGGATGGTAAGAAAGTTGCTAAACACAGGGATATCAGCTCAGTGCTTTGTGACCGCCTGGAGGGGTGGGATAGGGAAGGTGGGAGGGAGGGAGCCGCAGGAGGGAAGAGATATGGTAACATATGTATATGTATAACTGACTCACTTTGTTATAAAGCAGAAACTAACACACCATTGTAAAGCAATTATACCCCAATAAAGATGTTAAAAAAAAATTTAAATTACCGTTAAGAGAAAAAAAAAGAAAGTTGCTAAGGAGCCCATGACCGTGGGGTGTATAAATATGCATCCTAACTACTTAGAAACTGCCTTTCCCAGCTCAGCTTTCCTGCCAAGAGCCAGCCTACAGCAAAGTTTTTTCTTTTAACTCCCTTTCTGTGTTTACTGTTGAGCAATCATCTTCACTGCTAGGAAAAAAAAAAAAAAAAAAAAAGGAGGGGCTTACACAAACTTTCAGGGGTTACCTTCGTACAACATTGGTCATAAAACCAACCAGAAAGGGGAATGATGAAACCTGGCAATCCCAGGGTGAGTCAAAGCTGCAGTAAATTCAAGGAAGTACCACACCTGAAGTGTCTTCTATGGGTATAAGGTGAATAACCTCCCCTTCTGGAGGATGAGGACTTCTGCGCGCACTCAAGAGCACCGCGACGGACCCTGGTTTGCTAAGCGCACTGTCTCATCCTGCTCATCACTGTGCCAGGCGGCCCAGCTGCCTCTCACCTGCCTCCCCTCACACACATGCTCACATCCTTCTCCTGGGTACCGCCAGTCCCCAAAACAGGCAACGTCAGCAAGAGCCACAGGCATCCAATGTTACTCCACCCAGCCCACTGACAAAGGTGCAGGCTTTGGTAGTCCAGACTGACCAGACAGGAGGGAGCTAAAGGAATACCGCTCTGTTGGACAGATCCACCCAGGAAGCAATTAGGTTTATAGTCAGGAAAGAACAGCCCCAAAGGCCTCAGAAACAAAAGCAGCTTCCTGCCTGTGTTCTGTTCTCTCATTCCATGTGCTGTCGTAAAGGTAGGCTGAGCTATTCGGCTGCAATCTCTGACAGTCAGGCACTGTTTGGAGAATCTCTCCTGTAGAGACCTGCCTGTCAGGGTTTCACTTCTGTGCTAGGGCATCAACTGTCTCAGCTAGTTTGAATAACAAAAAAGGGATGTAAGCCTCCAAAAGGGAAAAATACTTAATGCAAAAC